TGATTCATCTAAAAATGCAATGAGCATTGTGTTCCTAGGATAATCCAAGTCCAGAGTTAACAACCATCTGTCAGAATTGACAGTAGAAGGTTATGTGCAAGGGTGGTCTCAAGGATCTGAAAAGTTGCATACTGTTCTCTAGTCTTTATCAGGGGATATTCTTTCTTTCTTTCTTTGAGCAGAAACATGGGCTTGCTCAGTCTAAGCTCAGTTATCATGGCCACTTAACCAGCATTTTAAAACCCAAGGCTAACTTCCCCAAATTGATACAATATTCAGAGAAAAGAAGCTGGAGAGGTGAGAAAAGGGACTGGCAGCTTATATGCAGCATGATGGATAACTGAAAGCATATTAGACCAGAGCTATGTGAAGCATTGATAGCTCCTAATAAGCAGGACTGTACACCTAGAAGATGAGATGGGCCACTGGCAGAAAGGGGGCTGCAGGGCAGGTGCCTGGGCAGGAAGACCACCTCAGGTTCTGCCCTCTGTTTCCTGGCCATCCTGTGCATCCACCCTGGTTAACCTGAAGGTGGTATAGGAATAGGAGTTTGTAGAGTAAGGTCAAGTACCTGATATCCAGCCCCCAACCAAATAAAGAACTATCACAGCAGGCAGTCTCTCCATTTTCCCCACTAAAGATTGTTACCTTCTCTCTGAAGTGGATGCTCAGAAGTATTTCTTGAATGAATGGATGAATGAATGGCCATACCTGGTTTTAATTCTAGAACCTAGAGTTCCATGGGAGTTTTTTTCTTTTGCTTGACATCTACACACACACACAGATACAGGCAGGCACACAAAGAAGTGTGAGAAAAGAAGATATCGATCAAGGGAAGTATTCTACAAACATATTCAGTATATCAGACTATGACACTCATGGTTACCCATGCAGAAGATACTTTGTGAAGGCAATGGAGAGGCTAAGGCCTAATTCAAAGACTAAAAATGCTTTAGTTTAGCTTAATGTTTTTAATTTACATCTCAATGTTCAAAGGCAATTACTAAAAAGTGTTATTTTTTTGGTATAGTCCGAGAAGGGGAATAGCTGGGTCAAACAGTGGTTCCATTCTCAGCTTTCCAAGGAATCTCCATACTGCTCTCCAAATCAGCTGCACCAATTTGCAGTCCCACCAGCAATGTACAAGTGCACCTAAGAGCATACTACAGGGACACAGCTACATCAATGTTCATAGTGGCACAATTCACAATAGCTAGATTGTGGAACCAACCTTGATGCCCTTCAACAATGGAATATTACTCAGCACTAAAAAATAACAAAATCATGGCATTTGCAGGAAAATGGATGGCATTAGAGCATATTATGCTAAGCAAAGTTAGACAATCCCTAAAAAACAAATGCCAAATGTCTTCTCTGATATAAGGGAGGTGACTCAAAACGGTGTAGGGAGGAAGAGCATGAGAAGAAGATTACCACAAAACAAGGAAAAGAGGTGGGAGGGAATGGAAGGGAGAAGGGGAATTGCACAGAAGATGGAAGGAGACCCTCATGGTTACATAAAATACATATATGAAGGTGTGAGGGGGAAGGGAAGAAAAAAGAGAGAGAAATATGTGTCACAGTAGAATGGGTAGAGAGAGGTGATGGGAGGGGAGGAGCAGGGAGGGGGTGGATAGGGAGGGCATCAGAATACAACTGACACTAGGATTGCTGTATGTATACACATGGATGTATAACCAATGTGCTCCTGCAATTTGTACACGTGGAAAAATGAGAATTCATACCCTATTTGAATCAAATGTAT